CTTTAACTTCTTTTAAAATATAAATAACTCTGGAAATATTTAAATTATAATAGGGGTACGTTAGTATATCATATCAATTTCCTTGAAACTTTGGGGGCTTGGAGAAGGGAAAAATGATAAAAATGGAATGTATCTGTCTTCACAAATTTGGCCATTTGGATATCAATAGTGCAAAATTTTGAATTCTGACTTTTAGAATAGTAAAATCTGTATGTTTTCTAAAATATTTAGCTAGAAATATATTTGGCCCACCAGTGGCAGGTAAGTGATGTGCTTGTACAAGGGACTGGAGCAAAAGTTTAATGAAGCTTATGGTCAATTGTAAGGCTATCTTTCCTATAATACAGACCCCTCCAATGTCACAAAATTCCAGCCAGAACAATGACCACCATAGCCACCAGGAAGACTGGTCGGAAAGGTGATATCCTCATGCCCAGCTCCCATTTTTATTGCTTTGATTGCCCAGCAGCTGGCGTAAATACTATAATTTCTACAAAGATACTTATACTTAAAATATTTAGGATCTGACACATATTCTTAGAAATAGTCATCATCATCTTTTGAGAGTGTGTGATTCAAACAAATGATCACAAGTCTCTTTAAAGTGAGCTTAGTGACTAAGTTAGATGAACATTAAAATTCCTACATTTTCTTGAATGATGTTTTGTCATGTTTGTTTTAAAGCTACAAGTCGTATAGTCCTACACTGCGCCAGGTCTTAATCCTCAACTTGGCTTCGTTCTAGGTTTCTCACTTCCTTTTCAGAACCTGAAGACTGAAATACATCCAGCTTTACAGCATTGGCTTGCATATCCATGTTTACTGATATGAGAAGAGTACCCATGTAAAGGAAAGCCCCTTTGTTTCCCTATAGTTCTCTTGAGGACAACTCCTTCTCTCCCACCCTCAGACCTTCAGTTTGTATGACACCATTTTGACTCTTTTCTTGGTTATTGTCCTAAAAGATGCTATCAAGTGAGAGAGAATAAAATTATTCAATACATTCTTTTAAAAAAATAGTTCTTTTGATCTTTCATCACAGAGGATTCAAGAGCATGCACTGTAAACATAGAAGAGACAAAAAAAAGAACTAGAAAGGTGGCTGCAGATACTCCAATTAACTCTCTCCATTGGGATATTAAACTGGGAGTGGTTTTATAAAACATGTGGAAAAGAAGAAAATGGATGTGCTGGTGGAACATAATAAATATTTTATTAAATTAATGCAGATGTAAATAGTGACAACCAAATGCAGACAATCATCTCTGCTTATGTCATTTACAGTGAAACACAAGACAAAAGGATAAAGTGCCTTACAAATCCAACACCATAAGAAGGCATTAAGATTTAAGACTGAAGTGAATAGACTGTATGTCTTGCTCAGCCAGAATCCTCACTTGTAATTCACACAAAGGATATTGTCACACAAACAAGGGGTATTGTGCAAATGAACATGTACAAAAGATAACAGGAGTTCTGGTTGGAGATTCTGTTTCTTCAGCGTTGGCAAGTGGCATAGTAAAGACGGTTTTCCTTGTCATCGATCCAGTAAATGACCAAGAATGAAGGAGTACTCTGGGGCCTCCTGAGAGGCTACTGACCCTCAAAGCCTTTTTGGAAGACAACCTCTTAGGAGGCCTGTGTAGTGGTGAGAACTGGTAGGACTAGGTTCAGACAAAGCTCATGGGTCTTTTTTGGCACAGATGAGGGTCTAGGGTCAAGTACTCTACTGGAATTTTCAAAAAGAACATGTAATTTTGCAAGTGCAACATCAATGTTAAGTTTGTACTCAGAAAACAGAAAGAAAAAACAAGTTTCCAGATACAATTCTGTCATACAGAAGTTAGTAATAAAGTCACGCTTTAGGACTAAGTTTACCTAGCATGCCCTGGAGAAGCCATGGGTCTCACTCTGAAAAACACAAAACCAACCAAATCCAAACTCAGTTATAGAGCAAATATTCAATAAATGCCAGCTGTCTAAATGTAGATGAATCATATATTTAGCATACAGTAAGTCTTACGGAAGATACTAAGAGGCTATGGAAAGGATGAACTAGAAACAAGACAGTGCCTGACCTCTGGGAACTTTTAATTTGTTTCCACTGCTACATAAGAAATAATAGGTTAAATAAAAATAGTGACATGTAAGCAGGTATATAATGTTACCACTTAAGTGAATAAGGACAAATAAAAAATATATACTTTTTACAAGTATTTCTGCATATATTCAGAGAGTATCTTTAGAAGACTATACAAACAAAAGGCAAGAGTGGTTGTCTTTGGAAAGAGAAACCAGATGGGTAAGAGGATGGAATGGAGACTTTTTAATGTCTTCTACTGGACTTCTGAATTTTGAATAATGGAGAGGTATGAATTCAAAATTCATTTAAAAAGAGAGAACTACTAACCAATACCAGACACTATGTAAATAAGCATCAGATTACATGGCAAAAGCAAATAAATCAGGGGTCAATACAATGGAAAAGGAATTCAAGAATTGCTTTCTACAGTTTTTAAAAATACTTGTCATCATAAATTAAATGGCTTTTTAATTAAAATGTTTAAGTATTTTCAACTGTCCAGAAACACATTAACTGGCCACCCAGACTGCCCTTCCTTTTGGCAGCATTACCAGACTTTCCTCCTCACATCATCATTCTCCTCCAACACCTTATCCTATGACACTGCACTAAATTGTAATAATAAATTTTCTTATTGATCTCCCCTTATACTATGAGCTCTTTGAGGGGAGGTACCTTATCTTGCTCACATATGTAGACTCACTGGCTGACATAGGGATGGACATGTAAGGGCACTACCTATATGTTTGCTGAATTAATGAATGTCTTAAAGTAAAACACAGCTGTAAATTGTATTCTAAAAGGTAAACAGGTGACAGTCCTGGAAATCTGAGGTCCGCTGTTTACTGCATGGGTGGGTTACTTTATCTCTCTACTCCCTCAACAGTGAAATGGGTATAATAGTGCTTACCACACACAGTTGTTAGAGAGATTAAATGAGATTATGTGTGTAGGATAACATATAGTTGCAAAGCTGGTATTTAAATGGAACAGAAACTGTGGTAACATATCTTACATAGAAGTCTGAGAATAAGATTATAGAGACAATTAAGGTCTAAGGATAAGATTATTCAAGTCAACCAAAGTACCAGTGGATTAAATAAAGTAATATCCTATGCAAACCAATGGCTTGTTCTCTATACCTCCTATGTACTGACAGCCATAAGGAATACCAAGCACCTTACAAATACTATACATTTTACAGTACGCACACAAGTCACTAAGTTTAGTTTTAAGAAAAATTTTAACTTCTACTGTGTCTTCAAAAGAAACCTTTCACAACCACACTCACATGACAAGACCCCAGACTCAAAATAAATAGTAAAAACATACTTAAATACTGCTGCAACACTGAGACTCTTGATCACACAGAAGAGAAATCAAGACACTGAGTGAAGACAAAGGGCACTTCTGCAGGAACTGACAATTAAATCAGGGAATCTCAACTTGCTTTCCTAGGATGAACAATGGACAATTTGCATGGAGGCTCATCATTCAGAAGTGTCCTTTCTCCCTTTCACATGCGCCAGTGAATCTCCCAGTCATTCTGAAGTACCTGAGGTTTCCTTCCAGGATGCCCTTTGTTCTCCTTGCGTTGTTCTCCTCTTTTTTCCCACCTTCCATTTTCAGTGCCTGGGCCTTTTAAGTCATACATCACCTGTAGCCCATTGGCCCACTGCAATCCTCTGGTCATGCTTAGCCCTGGCAAGCTCAAACCACAGGCTGAGAATCCCTACTTTAAGGTCAGAAGATTCAGTACTGGGTTACGTCTCCTCAAATTGTGTATCTGGAGAGTGATAATGAAAAACATAACTTTTATTTGCTAGATGAAATAATAAATCTGCAATAAAAGAGAGAGGCAGATTATATTTATGTCCATTTACTTTTACATGATATAGGGTGACCAGCCATCCTGGTCTGCCCAGGACTATCCTGGTTTTAAAACTGAGTCCCATACTAACTTTTTTCTTAATTCAGTTGGGTGAGGTCTTCTTATAAATGTAGAAATTTGTGGCAAAATGGATTTAAGTGTATAGGTTAAGGATAAGTGCTATGGTTGGGCCAGCAGGTTCCAAGCCCTGATTTGTGTCAGGTGTGTTTTTGGGCAATTTACATCATCATCTTTACCTTCTGTTTTCTCTAGTATAAAATGGGGATATGCCTGGTGTTTATCTCTGATTTTGGGTGTGGGGGAATTAAATGAGGAACATGAAGCAGTTAACACAGTGCCTGTTACACAAATTTTATCTGTCTGTCTGTCTGTCTATTCATCCATCCATCCACCCCACCCAACCATCCATTCAATCAGTCATCACCCATCCACAAAAGTCAACTTGGTTCCCTGCTGCAGGGAGTTGTTAGGAGGCAGAGCAAAAGAAACAGCAGAGAGAAAGCTGCCTCTTCCCCACAGTCCCTAAAGCTGTTCACCACTCCATTCTCCTGAGCCATCCCTAGACCTCCTTGGACTATGGGAGGTGTTCTTATATCAGAGTTGTGAGGTAAAGAGGAGTCAGCAGTTCCAACAGCCACATTCTTTAAAATGAGGGGAGATGATAGCTAAAAGCTTTCTCTTTGTTATTGCTTTAACTTTTTGTTTCCTTTTCATTCAACTTCTTGATCCCTACTAATATTCTTACCATTTTGTTTCCTTGAGTTTGTATCTTGGGTGCCACATTTCTCCACATCCATTAGTTTCACTTGAAAAAAAAAACACCTCATTTTTATTTCCACATAACACAACTCTACATTCCACACAGTGACTCAAGTTTAAATTCCACATTCCTATGAAACATTTTTAATATCCAAGGAAATGTGATAGACTTCCTTATTCCATGGGTTCTAACTTCCATGGTTAATTCTGCCTTTTAGGACAAGTTTTTGCTCCTAGGTTTTATTTAAAACATCTTTCCCTCAGTTTTTAAAAATACTTGTCATCATAAATTAAATGGCTTTTTAATTAAAATGTTTAAGTATTTTCAACTGTCCAGAAACACATTAACTGGCCACCCAGACTGCCCTTCCTTTTGGCAGCATTACCAGACTTTCCTCCTCACATCATCATTCTCCTCCAACACCTTATCCTATGACACTGCACTAAATTGTAATAATAAATTTTCTTATTGATCTCCCCTTATACTATGAGCTCTTTGAGGGGAGGTACCTTATCTTGCTCACATATGTAGACTCACTGGCTGACATAGGGATGGACATGTAAGGGCACTACCTATATGTTTGCTGAATTAATGAATGTCTTAAAGTAAAACACAGCTGTAAATTGTATTCTAAAAGGTAAACAGGTGACAGTCCTGGAAATCTGAGGTCCGCTGTTTACTGCATGGGTGGGTTACTTTATCTCTCTACTCCCTCAACAGTGAAATGGGTATAATAGTGCTTACCACACACAGTTGTTAGAGAGATTAAATGAGATTATGTGTGTAGGATAACATATAGTTGCAAAGCTGGTATTTAAATGGAACAGAAACTGTGGTAACATATCTTACATAGAAGTCTGAGAATAAGATTATAGAGACAATTAAGGTCTAAGGATAAGATTATTCAAGTCAACCAAAGTACCAGTGGATTAAATAAAGTAATATCCTATGCAAACCAATGGCTTGTTCTCTATACCTCCTATGTACTGACAGCCATAAGGAATACCAAGCACCTTACAAATACTATACATTTTACAGTACGCACACAAGTCACTAAGTTTAGTTTTAAGAAAAATTTTAACTTCTACTGTGTCTTCAAAAGAAACCTTTCACAACCACACTCACATGACAAGACCCCAGACTCAAAATAAATAGTAAAAACATACTTAAATACTGCTGCAACACTGAGACTCTTGATCACACAGAAGAGAAATCAAGACACTGAGTGAAGACAAAGGGCACTTCTGCAGGAACTGACAATTAAATCAGGGAATCTCAACTTGCTTTCCTAGGATGAACAATGGACAATTTGCATGGAGGCTCATCATTCAGAAGTGTCCTTTCTCCCTTTCACATGCGCCAGTGAATCTCCCAGTCATTCTGAAGTACCTGAGGTTTCCTTCCAGGATGCCCTTTGTTCTCCTTGCGTTGTTCTCCTCTTTTTTCCCACCTTCCATTTTCAGTGCCTGGGCCTTTTAAGTCATACATCACCTGTAGCCCATTGGCCCACTGCAATCCTCTGGTCATGCTTAGCCCTGGCAAGCTCAAACCACAGGCTGAGAATCCCTGCTTTAAGGTCAGAAGATTCAGTACTGGGTTACGTCTCCTCAAATTGTGTATCTGGAGAGTGATAATGAAAAACATAACTTTTATTTGCTAGATGAAATAATAAATCTGCAATAAAAGAGAGAGGCAGATTATATTTATGTCCATTTACTTTTACATGATATAGGGTGACCAGCCATCCTGGTCTGCCCAGGACTATCCTGGTTTTAAAACTGAGTCCCATACTAACTTTTTTCTTAATTCAGTTGGGTGAGGTCTTCTTATAAATGTAGAAATTTGTGGCAAAATGGATTTAAGTGTATAGGTTAAGGATAAGTGCTATGGTTGGGCCAGCAGGTTCCAAGCCCTGATTTGTGTCAGGTGTGTTTTTGGGCAATTTACATCATCATCTTTACCTTCTGTTTTCTCTAGTATAAAATGGGGATATGCCTGGTGTTTATCTCTGATTTTGGGTGTGGGGGAATTAAATGAGGAACATGAAGCAGTTAACACAGTGCCTGTTACACAAATTTTATCTGTCTGTCTGTCTGTCTATTCATCCATCCATCCACCCCACCCAACCATCCATTCAATCAGTCATCACCCATCCACAAAAGTCAACTTGGTTCCCTGCTGCAGGGAGTTGTTAGGAGGCAGAGCAAAAGAAACAGCAGAGAGAAAGCTGCCTCTTCCCCACAGTCCCTAAAGCTGTTCACCACTCCATTCTCCTGAGCCATCCCTAGACCTCCTTGGACTATGGGAGGTGTTCTTATATCAGAGTTGTGAGGTAAAGAGGAGTCAGCAGTTCCAACAGCCACATTCTTTAAAATGAGGGGAGATGATAGCTAAAAGCTTTCTCTTTGTTATTGCTTTAACTTTTTGTTTCCTTTTCATTCAACTTCTTGATCCCTACTAATATTCTTACCATTTTGTTTCCTTGAGTTTGTATCTTGGGTGCCACATTTCTCCACATCCATTAGTTTCACTTGAAAAAAAAAACACCTCATTTTTATTTCCACATAACACAACTCTACATTCCACACAGTGACTCAAGTTTAAATTCCACATTCCTATGAAACATTTTTAATATCCAAGGAAATGTGATAGACTTCCTTATTCCATGGGTTCTAACTTCCATGGTTAATTCTGCCTTTTAGGACAAGTTTTTGCTCCTAGGTTTTATTTAAAACATCTTTCCCTCAGGGATGGACCATATTCTGAGGTTCTTTATTATACATTAGCTTGTGTGTGTGTGTGTGTGTGTGTGAAATTTCTTGATTCTCTTTTTTTAATCTCTTTTCTCCTCCAGCTTTGAGACATAATTGGCACATAACATTGTGTGTAAGTTTAAGGTACACAACTTAATGATTTGATATACATTATGTATCACAAAATGAATACCACAATAAGATAAGTTAACACATTTATCAGCTCACATACTTTTTTTTGGTGGTGAGAATGATAAGATCTCTTAGCAAACTTCAAATAAATAGTGTAGTATTGTTAACATCACCAGAACTTATTCATCTTAAAACTGAAAATTATACCCTTTGACAACCTTCTTCCCTGCCCTTCCTTGGCAACCTCTAATCTGCTGCTTCTATGTTTTTTTTAGATTCCACATATCAGCAAGAACATACAGTATTTGTCTTTATTTGATCTATTTCAAACAGCATAATGCCCTCAAATTTCACCTATGATGTTGCAAATGGCAGCATTTCTTCTTTTTTATGGCTATGTAATATTCCATTGTGTGTATTTATATATACCACATCTTTATTCATTCATCTGTTGATGGAGATTTAGGTTGTTTTCATGTCTTGGCTGCTGTAAATAATGCTGCAGTGAACATGAGACTGAAGCTATCTCTTTGTGACAGTGATTTCACTTCCTTCATCTATGCATCCAAGAGTAAAACTGCTGAATCACATGGCAGGTCTACTTTTAGTTTTTTGAGAAATCTCCATACTGCTTTCCATAGTGACTGCACCAAATTACATTCCCACCAACAGTGTATAGGGATTCCCTTTTCTCCACATCCTCACCAACAGTCTTTTTGATAATAGGAATTCTAACAAGCATGAGGTGATAGCTCATTGTGGTTTTGATTTGCATTTTCCTGATGATTAGTGATGTTGAGCAACTTTTCATGTAACTGTTGACCATTTGAATATCATCTTTAGAAAAATGTTCAGGTCCTTTGCTCATTTTTAAATCAGATTATTTGTTTTTTTGCTATTGAGTTGTAGAAGTTCATTATATATTTTGGATACAACCCCTTATCAGATATGTAGTTTACAAATATTTCCTCCCTTTCCAAAGGTTGCCATCTCATTTTGTTGATTGTTTCTTTTACTATACAGAAGCTTTTTAATTTGATGTGGTCCCACAGATTTATTTTTGCTTTTGCTGTCATATCTATAGTCATTGGCAAGACTAAAATCAAGGAGCTTTTCCCCATGCTTTCTTCTAGGAGTTTTATGGCTTCAGGTCTTATGTTAAAGTAACCCATTTTAAATTAATTTCTGTGAATGGTGTAAGATAAGGGTCCTGTTTCATTCTTTTGCAGGTGAATATCAGTTTTCTAGCACCATTTATTGAAGAGAATATCTTGTTCCCATTGAGGATTCTTGGTTTCCTTGCCAAATATTAGTTGACTATATATCCATTTTCCACTTCCCTATTTGACATCAGATACTCTACATACAGATAGACACTGAATCCCTTGGTATAGTTCTCAAAGTATTGGGGAAATGTTTACACTGAATAGTCTTAAAATTAGAGGAAATTATTTGTATAAACTCATTTTCCTGGATTTCAATTGTGCCCAAAGGTAAGTAGATAAATACATGCAAATTATTTTGAAAACTATCTAACACCATCTGCCAGAAATCTTGTGTAATACTTTGTGGTAAAATTATCAAAGCTCTACAGAAGGAACTATTCTTATTACTTAGGGTGCTCAGAAACCAACTCAATATAACAGTGCAACTAATGTAATCAACAGGCATTTTTAGCTTTTGCTTTCCGACTTTAAGTCTGTGGTTTTGCATGACAGAAAGAAACTGTCTGATGCTTGGTTTTCTTCAACCTTCACACATACCCATTCTTCTATTCCTCACCTCTCACCCCTGTACAGATGACTTTCACCCAGCAATCCTGCTTAGCTTCACTATAATTCCTATTAAACAGTAGAATGTCTTTGTGCCACATTGCAAATGCAAGTCAAGTTTTTCTGCAGTCATAATCCAACTCTCAACCCCTGGGAAATGCTACAAGCATTCACTGCTGCCCTCCAATGTAGGTGATACTGTGGAACAGCAAAATGAGAAGGCTGGAAGAAGAGATGTTGCACAGATTCACATGGTAGCATAGTTAAAATCTACTTTGCATAATTGAAAGTTGGCCCTGAGAGGGAAAGACAATAGAAGGCAGCATTTTATAAACTGGTGTTTCCTAGTGGAGTACCACTAGCATTTTGGGTAGGACAGTTTCCTGTTACATGGGACTATCCCTCACATTACAAGAGATTTAGGATTCCTGGCTTTGTCTACTAAGTACATTGTGACAACAATAACACCGCCATACATCTACCCATATTCGCAGGGGAAACTGTTGCAATAAAGGAAATACCATCTCTTTTTAGGTAGATGATGACTGTCAGGGCTACACCAAGGAAAAAAAAGACAGCTCCCAGAGTCACCCAGTGAATCCTCTTATTTCCTGGAACCAGAAGTGGTTCTGAAAAACAAAACAAAATAAAAAGAAACTGATTGAAGATAAAATTTTGATGGGAAGGGGTCAAGAGAAAAATCATCCTTGAAGGCTAATTTAGATTATCTTTAGGTTAGCACCTAAATGCAAAAGTTCCTGGCCCAGTGAGTGGCTGCAATGGAGAGATACTTCTGATGTGAAAAATGGGAGCAGCATGGAAAAGTAGACAAAGCCCACGCTTTGGACAGATGGACCTAGGGTTAAATTCTGCTGCCACTCACTAGCTTTGAGATCTCTGGAGAATCCTTTAAGCAGCCTACAAAATGGGAACAATAAATTTACTGTGAGGCTTATGTTTGTAAAGTGCCACAGGGAGGGGATGCTCAATTCTAAATGGCAGCCTTAATAATTTTATTTCCAGAGCATTCTTTAATATAGAAGCTAGTACAGTAATATAGTACAGCCTACTGTACATGGCAAAGATGGAATATGAAGGCCAAATGGCACTGCCCAAGAGCTCTTACCTCCCCTCATTTGTGGGCATGACTGAGGACCATTGATGTCTTTTCTTTCTCCAGTTTGAACATCTCAAAACATCTAGTAATTGGTACCTCTCACCAGTCTCTATGTCTGTGGTTCTATTTATACAAAAAGAAAAGAGTCCCATGGCATATGATGCTCAGACTGCTAGCTCCCAGCTCCTTCCCCCCACCATTAGTTATAATCCCTGACTACCTAGTTCATATTTTAAAGCCATGACAGCAGTCATTCTTTCTCTAGTAGCTTATAGTTTACAAAGCCTCTCATATCTATTTTAATTGAGTTTCAAAATAACTTTATGAGTTAGGTGGAAATGCTACAAGCATTCACTGCTGCCCTCCAATGTAGGTGATGCTGTGGAACAGCAAAATGAGAAGGCTGGAAGAAGAGATGTTGCACAGATTCACATGGTAGCATAGTTAAAATCTACTTTGCATAATTGAAAGTTGGCCCTGAGAGGGAAAGACAATAGAAGGCAGCATTTTATAAACTGGTGTTTCCTAGTGGAGTACCACTAGCATTTTGGGTAGGACAGTTTCCTGTTACATGGGACTATCCCTCACATTACAAGAGATTTAGGATTCCTGGCTTTGTCTACTAAGTACATTGTGACAACAATAACACCGCCATACATCTACCCATATTCGCAGGGGAAACTGTTGCAATAAAGGAAATACCATCTCTTTTTAGGTAGATGATGACTGTCAGGGCTACACCAAGGAAAAAAAAGACAGCTCCCAGAGTCACCCAGTGAATCCTCTTATTTCCTGGAACCAGAAGTGGTTCTGAAAAACAAAACAAAATAAAAAGAAACTGATTGAAGATAAAATTTTGATGGGAAGGGGTCAAGAGAAAAATCATCCTTGAAGGCTAATTTAGATTATCTTTAGGTTAGCACCTAAATGCAAAAGTTCCTGGCCCAGTGAGTGGCTGCAATGGAGAGATACTTCTGATGTGAAAAATGGGAGCAGCATGGAAAAGTAGACAAAGCCCACGCTTTGGACAGATGGACCTAGGGTTAAATTCTGCTGCCACTCACTAGCTTTGAGATCTCTGGAGAATCCTTTAAGCAGCCTACAAAATGGGAACAATAAATTTACTGTGAGGCTTATGTTTGTAAAGTGCCACAGGGAGGGGATGCTCAATTCTAAATGGCAGCCTTAATAATTTTATTTCCAGAGCATTCTTTAATATAGAAGCTAGTACAGTAATATAGTACAGCCTACTGTACATGGCAAAGATGGAATATGAAGGCCAAATGGCACTGCCCAAGAGCTCTTACCTCCCCTCATTTGTGGGCATGACTGAGGACCATTGATGTCTTTTCTTTCTCCAGTTTGAACATCTCAAAACATCTAGTAATTGGTACCTCTCACCAGTCTCTATGTCTGTGGTTCTATTTATACAAAAAGAAAAGAGTCCCATGGCATATGATGCTCAGACTGCTAGCTCCCAGCTCCTTCCCCCCACCATTAGTTATAATCCCTGACTACCTAGTTCATATTTTAAAGCCATGACAGCAGTCATTCTTTCTCTAGTAGCTTATAGTTTACAAAGCCTCTCATATCTATTTTAATTGAGTTTCAAAATAACTTTATGAGTTAGGTGTGCTAGGAATCTTTAAAAGTCCCCAGGAATAACTTTATGAGTTAGGAGTGCCAGGTATTAAAAAAAAATCCCCAGGTTACAGATGAGGAAACAGACTCTATGCACTTAGATGAGTTACCCTAGGTCTTCCCACAGAAAAGCTGTCATAAAATAGCTTTTAAATGGCAGGAACCCACTAATGTAGCTCTTACCAAAGTGATTCATACCACAGTAAGAGCATCGCTTTAATTTTCTGAAAAGATTTTGCTCTTTAAGTTCATAGGGCCATCCTGGATTGCCTTTTCTACCCAATTTTTTAGTTGTTTTCTCTAATGTATCTAAAGCTTTACTGGCAACATCGAGTGGGGGAAGGGCTGTGAGAAAAGCTTCTCAGAACACTCCCAGGTTTATATTATCATCATCCTGTCCCTCCTTACCTTGGCTAAAGGGTTGAGCCTCCCATCAGACTCTGTATCCCACCTTACCCACTTCTGTAGTGTAGTGAAACACACAAAAAGTTGAATCTGTGCAGCTGAGAGTTTCAAATCATTTTTCATACACTGTAGCTCATTTATCCCTATGAAAACCATGTTCAATAGGTTATAACTATATAGGGAAAGTGAAGCATGTAGAAGCAGAGTAGCATTACCCAGGGGCACAGAGCCTCACATCCTGTGCAATAAGCAGACTGCCTTGACTTGAAATGTCATTAGACTTCCTTGGGAGAGGCAGATGGGGAGGAAGCTCTCTCTCATTTGGAATAATATAGAAAAGTGCATTCCAACTGCTTCCTGCTACAGAAACCCTGGAAAGGAGTAGCCCTGATGTGCTTAGATTTGGACTCCTGAAACATGGCCTGAGTTATGTCTTCCTCACAGATGCCACCTCAGCTCTCACAGCCACAAGAGCATTTGCTATATGGAATGGAATTGCCTGCTTTCTTATTTATTTCATAAAGAGTGTGAACTGTGTCTCATTTTATGAGCCCCCAAAGCCTGGCACAAAGGGCATATTCAATAAATATTTCCTGAATGCTTATTAAGTAGCAGTATGAGTTGGATAAAGGAGGGTGAGGAAGCAGGATGCATTTTGTAAAGATAGTGTCATTCATGCATTCACTTATTCAACAAACAATGAATTCCCACAATGAGCAGGCATCATGCTAGGTGCCAAGGGACAGAACTAGATCAAGGGACACATTTTAACTGATACATTCAGAATATTACCTGGGATGACCAACTCAGCTGTACTGTTTTCCTCAAGACCTGATCTTCGAAAAGTACAGTAGAAAATCTCATTAGCTGTTGTGTTGGTTCTCAGTGTGCTGGTCACATTGAAAAGCTTCTCTTCCCTTTTGGAATTGGTGATGGTGGTTTTGCCACTCAGGACTTGCCACTCAGTATTGACTCTTCTAGTAGACAATTTCATGCATTCACATCACCTAAGATCTTTATTCAAGTTTATTCATTATAATACGTTAGGATGTTATTACTCTGTTGGTATACTCTTTATTTTACTCCTAATACTTTAGTGTAAACCCTAGTGGTCCACCTATATCCATAACTCTTCATTTCTTTGCCAAAGAATAACAATGGATTTGTGATATGATATATTCACAGATTTAATACAAAATAGCCAGGAACAAACAAAACTGAAATAACAATGTGATGTTTTTGTCTTTAATTTATAAAACCACCAAAGAAAACATTAGAAATCAACATAATTACAATTTCAAAACAGAAATAATAGTTCCTGTCAGTACTTGACTCCTCAGCTTTGCATCTATAATGTTTAAGAATCCTTTTAAAAAATGAATCCATCAAATATACTTTATGAAATTATATGCTGAAACAGAATTTATCTCACATAGCACACAGCTTGATTTCTGAGCAATTCAAATTTCAAGCCTAAAATCACCATTAATGGTAAAGTGGTAAGGGTTAAGATGTTTTCTTTTTTACTCTCTATTATCATCTTTAGTGAAATAAGAATAAAGGAAAATATTGTTTCATACCTGAGTGTATATATAAATGTGATGCACCTCTAAGAGCCCAATAAATGGATTCATTCTACTCATTGATTAAATATCAACAACGTTAGTCTCTAAAGTGGAGAACATGTGCTGGGGTATAGGAACAATATATTAGAATTTCCATTTACATGTATTTTTATCACAACAAGTAACAAATAATCTAAGCTTAATAAGGTTAACTGGTTGACACTGACCTCAATTTGTATGCCACAGGAAGAGGGAGTTGTATAACAGTAGAAGGAGGACAGTGACTCATATGGGCTTATAGATTTTCAGATTCTCTTACCTAACTTTAACTAAATAAACCTGCTCACAAAACGAACAGCTAATTAAAAAGTTTCCCACAAAGAAACTGAGGACTGAAGATAATATTAATAATTAAAACACAAACCAAAAGGAAATGGCAAGGCTGACATTTTTTACCACGACTTTATGAAGGTAAAGCCATCAGTACTCTATTGCACTTGACAAAGTATCGGTTAAAAAACTTAAAGATTTTCAAGACCACCCACCTTTGTTAACAATGAATTCACCTAAAGTATATAATGCCTTGAAATATTAGCTAGTGATAGTGAACCATCACAATTAGCAAGACATTGAAAATACTAAATTTTTTATTTTTTAAAATTTGTTTTGTACATTTATAGAATGTATAATGTATTAGGTTGAACCATATGAGACCGGTGATGCTCAACTTATTTTTCCTTTTAAAAATATCAGTTTATGACACAATCTATATATTTGCACAAGAATATTCTTTGTTAACCCCCCCCCCCCACACACACACTAGCTTAACATGCTTTACTGATGGAGTAGGTAATCAAAAACATTTGCAGAGTTGTAGATACAGAGCATTCTATATGCCCCATGAGGGTTTTGCAAGAAGAGGGGAGTTTTATAACACCAGAGGGAGGAGAGTGACTCATTTGGGTTTATAGATTTTCAGATTCTTTTACTTAATTTTAACTAAATTGACCTGCTTACAAAATGAACTTCTAATGTAAAAATTTTCCACAAAGAAAACTAGATAGAGAGCATGCATTTGTTGATGCAATGGTCACATCAAGACCAAGAAATGCACTTGGTAGTTTTGAAGTCAATATACAACTGGATACATACTCTGGATGTATAAATACAGTCAGTAAAACCTGGTTGGTAAGGGCAAAGACTTCAGAGTCAGATAGCATGAGTTTACAAGCTGGTTCCACTACTTAATAGCTGAGTGAACTTGGGCAAATTACTTAATTTTGATTGTCAGTTTCCTCATCCATAGAATGAGAATACCACCATATATCATTGAACCTAAGATGCCATGTATTGAAAAGACACCCATAGATTTCAGAGAAAGCAAAAACATTCATCTTAGACATGATGAAGCCCCTACTCCATAGAGTAATTTGAGAATTAAATGAGGTAATATTGGCAAATGCTTAGGATAGGGCCTGAGACACAGTATTATAAAGTGTTAATTACTAGTGCTATTACTCCTAGAGCTCCTCCTACTCTTCTTACTATTCCACTTAAGTGCACTCAAGTGGTATTGCTTAGAAAGTACTGATAGTTCCTGATGAACAGTCTGGAAGTAAATTTTCACATATCTAAACCTGTTCACGTTTCAAAATTTTTAGGCTTATTTTATTTGAGGAAATATTCATTAGTCATCAAAAAATATTTGGTATGTTAAATGTCGCACTACTACTCTTTATGCCAAGTCCTAGGGATACAGCAATGGATAAGACAGACCAAAATCCCTGCCTATGTGGAGGATATATTCTAGAATGAGGAAGACAATAAACAAAATAGTTAGGGACATTTATATGATACATTACTGGATATATTAGATGGGCAAAAATGCTAAATCTAAACAGGGCTAGTTGGTGAATTTGGAGGAAAGATGGGTTTGAGGGGAATGATAGCAGTTAATCCTTGGTCTATGTGAACAAATTAGCTTTATAAGGGTAACTATGTAATACTTTGTCTTTTTCACTTGCCTAGCCCCATTTAAAGGTCTTAAAAGTGCAAATAGACACTTTCTTTTCGATTCAATGAGTAAGGAGAAACAACATTTTCAACTGAAAGTCAGATGCCTGAGAGTCTGGTATTTAACAAACACAACAGGTATAATAATATTTAAAGAGATAATAATAATTGAGTTAATCCAAAACTAAACTCTTTCAAATTTCAGTTTTGAAATGCTTCACTTTTGAAATCCTATGGTGAGTAAACTCCCTGTGGGGAAGCTGTGTGACCACATGTTTGCAGTTTGATGGGAAAAGAAGCCTGACAGCATTACTGTGAAATCATCTGCATATGGAGGTGACTCAGGAGTTCTACTTCCATGACTTGAAAAACTCTGCAAGCCAGCCTCCAAACTTCCACTGGTGACATTGTCTCAGTGTAACTGAAGCTTGGTGGCTTTCTTGCTCTCACTGAAGCTCAACTTAAGCCAAATATCACAAATGACAACATGGATTGTGACTAGTATGACAATTTAGTAATTTATAATTCAAAATGGAATGGTCAAGCAAATCAGATCCTCGGATCTGGCTGGTCATCTGCTTTGCTCCACAGGGACCCTTCATTGGAAAACTACCAGTGCCAGATGATTTCCTATTGTGTTGAACCACAGCAAAGGCAACTGCAAATCCACAAGGGACATTAGACCCTCAATGACCTGGAAGAACACCCTTCCTCACTACAGGGACAGCAGCCCCACTCGGCATGCTTCCTACAGTTTGATGAGAGACCTTGTTTTCTGGAAGCAGAAACTTACACTCTTTACTTAATTCTACCTGACTGCCAGGTTTATATTCTTCTTCCTCATCCCAGATCCAGCAATTCCAGTTGATCATGGGGCTAAGTTTTGATAATTTCTTAAATGCCTTGAAATATAGTAGGTATCTGATATTTTCTGATGGACTGAAGAAAAGTTGAAATTCCCAACTTCAGATCCCACCAGCTTGCTCTCATGAATATCACCTTTCTGGAGAAGCATATGGTAAAATATAATGAAAATTAGATCTATTTCACAAGACAAGTGACCCTTTGGGTGGATTTCTGTTCTTTCTGAGTTTGGATTAGCTGCTCTTGCCTGGGATCCTTTCAGCTCTCAATTCCATGGATCTTAACTGTGAAAGCAGAGGTGGTCAGCTAAGGTGTTTCCTTTACTTAGCTAGTGGCAACTTAAAACTGAATCAAGGTGACCTGATGACATATTTGTGGATCAGTACCCAGGAATTTGACACTCACAGTTCCTCTTCAACACTCCAAGATAACATTGGTATAGATGTTCAAAATAATTCATGCCCAGTGAGCATAGTTTATACTGTCTCTAAGGAAGAATAGTTTCTTCCATAGTTGATATGATTATATTTTGCATTCTTAGATTAACTTCAAGTCTTTTTCAATGTGAACCTTACAATGGGGTTTATTTTTAATATACTTGAGTTTGACAAAGAGAGGTTCCAAGGAAGGAAATGCTGGCAGGTCTAATAAAAAAAAATCAGTAAAATTTAAAAAATCCCTGAGAGACCCACAAATAGTAGTTACTATTTTTGCATGCCATGGAAGATGGTGGTGAAGGGAGAAGGGACAGTTCTATAATTCATTTTATTCACTTCCATTATTATCTGAATTATTTGCAAGTGTATGTATTACTTTTATTTTTAGGAGAACTGAACACACCGTGGAACATGGCTATGTCATGTTTGGCTCTGGTTCTCCATGGACTATCAAATAGGAGGTGCTCAAGAAATGCTCAGGGGGTGAGTATGTGAATGAATGAGCAGATTGCCACTGTGGAAAGTACGCTAGATTTCCAAGAGTGAAAAGTTCTCAACAGTGGGATATGGTTTTAATAAATGTTGTGCCTCTTTCTCTATAATAATTCTTACCATTGACTTTCAAAGTAATCCTCTTGTAGTCGGCACCACCACAGCTGATCAAGCAACAGTAAACCCCCGTATCCTGCAGTTTCACATCTGTGATCTCAAGTGCAGCCTTTCCCAGAGCTGGTCCTTCAACAGTTGGGCCCTCTGGTTGTAGCTACTGTGCTGAACCTTCAGGTCTTCCTTTCCATTCACAAATTGAATAATTTTCTTATCCTCCATTTTCCAGTAAACAATTAATGCAAGCAAGTCTAATTGTTTTCCTACTGGGAATTTACATTCCAGTGTCACATTGCTGCCATATTCTACCATGTATAGGTCCTTGGTGACTGTGATAGTAAATGCTGAAAAGAAAGAATGACTGATCTTCAGAAGACAGAAAATTCCTCAAAAAATTTACAGAATGAGTGCACGGTTTACAAACACTTGATCTGGTCACTTATGTGATAATTACATTTAAGGACTTAATTCCCTAAAAAAAAAAATATTTCATTGAGTGGGCTTGAAACATGTTTTGGGATACTATATCTCACTGCCCTAAACTCTTGGTCAGTTGTCTGGCCAGAGATACTTACTTCAGTATAGAGATTTAGGAAGGGTCTCAGGATGAGGCTAATACTGTGTTACACTGACAATTTCCATGTACACTACAATTCTTCCTTCGAATACACTCATCTGTAAAAGCAGGTCACAAAGCAAGGTGGATAGAAGGATCTTGCCCTTGTTTAAAACAAATAAATAAAAATATACACATAGGCCATTTCCCCATTTTCAGTAATTAATCCCTGGAAAATGGATAATGGATAATAGGTAATAGGGTAATGGGTCAGTTTTGTTTCAGTTTGTCCATATGTTTGCCTTGTATGTTTGTCCACCGAAATGGGCTTATGAAATAGAAGGAAAAATAGAATGTCCTCTATAAAAAATTACATCCATTTTTCAATTATGATTTTAGTTTTTAACTTGTTTAAAATATTTAAAACACAGAACTTAATGAAAGAGTCTGGTACCTTACCTTTCAGCAAATAATCGTAGGCCATGAATATAAAGATACTAAATATCCTCATCTTTCTGGAATGACCTAATTATGGAAAATACAAAAAGAAAACTTGCTTTACTCAATAATAGTCTTACTCAAAAAAGATTTGTATTGTATTTCAACCTATTTATTAACATATTTTCTCTCTTGGGTTATACATATATTTATACACTTAGAGAAGAGAGTCAGTTTTCCCTTTTAGGGCCTCCTCTGACTTCTATATACATACAAAAACTCACAATTGATCAATTAATCAGTGCTGTACATATATAAAGCAGAAGATTTATGCTCCTAATATATAAATAGCTCCTAAAAAATCAGTAAGAAAACTACACACAACTCAATGGGAAAATGAGCAAAAGGTTCTAACATGCAGTTCAGAAAATAAGAAAGGCAAATGACAGCTAAACAGAGGAAAGTATGCTCAACCTCACAGAAAAAAAGTATTAAGACATAAGATACTATTTTTCATTTATTAGCTTGACCAAAACTATAAAGATTCTTAATATTTAGCATTTGTGAGGATATGAACAAATGGTTTTCTCACCCACTAACGGAAGGAATGTGAAGTTGTGCAACACTTATTGGAGGGCGGTCTGGTAACCTCTATTAAAATTTTAAACACACAGGACATACAAATTTTCACTTCCTTTCTTATAAATGTATATTACAGAAACAAAAACACATACATATAATAATACATGTAAAGGGATGACATTGCTAATACTAGTTCCAAACTGGGAATACCTTACATAGTCTAAATGGTTAAATGTATTTTGATGTATTCATACAATGTAATAACATCCTACAATGCCCCTACAGCAAAGATATACCTAGCCCAGAATGTCAATAGTGCCAAAAGGTTCAGAAACCTTGCCACCACTCTGAACATTTCACTATATATTTTTCTTCTAGACTTTTCCCCTACAAATCTTTTCAAAAATAGTAACTTTTTAATGCACTTAATACCCATCTTTTCATTCATTATGACATATTTTCCATTTTACCCATGATACTGATAAATATCTTATTTTGTGGTTTCATAATGCTTAGTTTCTGATTACTAAATGGAAAATTATTTCCAATTTAAAAAATATCATAAGTATTTGTGTATTAAGCAAATATTTGTTGAGTGCCCATTGTGCGCCAGGCCCTAGGCTAGTAGGCCCTGAGGATAGATTTCCCCAAGGAGAATTGTTGATCAAGGAGAAAAGAACATTTTCCAGGTTCTTGATGCATGTGGATAGTTGGTATCTGTTATAATGTATCTTCACCCTGGACTGGGTATTGTTTTAAAAATATTTGTTTCTAATTTGAATTATTCATGGATTTGTTGATTGCTTTGGTTCTTTTGTGAATTACCCAATGGTATTTTGGCCTGTTTATCTTACTGGTTTCTTATCAACCGTGTATGAATCCTTTATGTTCATATACATGTAAAAAAAAGGGTAAAATAGAACAAGTCACCATCTTCTTGCAAGTGTTAGGTGCATAATTCTTTTTTCTCTCCTTTCTGTGTGCTGAGCACATGAGGAATAGGGATGGCATCTAGGCCTGTGAGAACACAAAGGCTGTTGACATGAGACTATAGCAGCTATCTGGTTGTCCTTTCCGTGGGCCAGAGTTGATTACACTTTAAGGGTCTCCTCTGACCTCTGTACACATACAAAAACTCAATACAAAAAAACACAATAATAATGTGTTATTATAAACATGAACACACTGGGCAGAAAAAATTTTAGACACCCCTAACTCCAAGCAAAGAGCGGCTGAATAAAACAGAGGGAGAGTAAATCCACTCACAGATTATAACTAATTTTGTCCATTAGCATGCCTCCAGGTGTACTCTGGTGGAGTTCCTATCCTTTAATTAATTTGGTTGAAAATTTTAAGGGTAATAAAAATTTACTGGAATGAGATGGATTAGATCTGCCATTTACCTAAATCCTCATTACACCTCCTTTTCCAAGGCTCCATTTCCATGGAGTGCAGCTATCATTAGTGGGGAACATAAGGGAAAGACAGAGACTATGTAAATAAACATGGTGTTTGATCTCTAAACCCCACATCATGGCAGTTGGTTTAAGATAACAGCCACATCTCCTTCTTTAGGTAAGAGAGTCTGACAGAGAATCTGAATTCCAGACAAGAACATTCAAAGAGCAAGTAAATATGAACTAGGGAAGAAGTGATGTTCATTCAGGATAGAGAAGCAGGTTTGTCCCTGGCAACCCAGTATTAACACAGTAGAACTGATACTATTTCTCTTTCTCAGGGGTGGGGAGGATGGTAGGAAATGACAGGGGAAAGAAATCAAGCTTCCTTTCTCAAAAATAGGAGCAAGGAGTGTTTTGGTGTCTGTTGATTTAAAATTTCCTTTGACTTTTACCTGATGTATATACATTATAATTTGATTTTTAAAGTTGAGTTTAATAATGTTTCTGCGTGAGCTGAAAACCTACCCCAGTAATAGGTTGAAAGAGCTGTCTATTAAACCTCTGCTAAACTATCAAACGCTATTAAACTCAACTAAACTCTGTGTCCAAACTCCTTCCCCTCAGTCACCCTGAGACACTCTTGCACATTTCCCAGGTGTGCTGACTAAAATTCCCCAAAGTATTCCTGTGACTTCCTTTAAGATCACATTCTAAGTGCTGTCCTGTAACCTCAGCCTACCTTTTCCCCTGAAAAAAGGCTATTTTTTTTTCTTCAGAGCATCAGAGTTCTTAAAAACTGCTGGCAACTGTCAGTGTAAACCGGCACAACCCTTCTAGAAGGCGATTTTCACTTTGCATCAAATGACCTTTAAAACATTCTGACTCTGACTAAACAGTTACACTAAGAGTTTATCTGAAGGAAATAATTAGCAAGGTCCCAGAGACGTTGATGCAATGATGTTCAGCAAATGGTAAAATAGCAAATCACTGTAAATAATCTTTATGTCCAGAATAGGGGATTAACTTTGCCTGGCTATCCAGCACCAGGGAATGCAGCCATTAAAAAAAAAAAATCACATTTTTTTAGAAGGCTACTTAATCCACAAAAAAATCATCCACATTGCATTTTTTTCTCGGTGAAAAAAAAAAAGTGGAACAATGATACTTGAAGTACCCCGTGTTATAAAACAAACTCAAGCTGAACTGTGACATAAGCCAACGTCAGTATGTCAAAGAAGTATTTTAACATTTTTTTCCCCTGAGGCTCTTCTCTCCTTCAGGACTCCTTTAGGCGCTCAGAGCAGTTAGAGCAAAGAACTCAGGGTTTGGGTATCCTGAATCTTACATCAGGTAGGAACCTTAGAAGATGCTGCAGGTGTGATGAATTACCCAGAGCACGCTGCGAGTGAGCATCTAAGGGTGGATTAGGGTCCAGGTGCTCAGACCTCCAGTTTAGCAATTTCCCCCTAGAGAGGGCTACCTCAGGACCATATTCATAAACGCGTGAAAACATATACTTAGAAGGTTGACATGAAGCATAACTGGATCTCGCCTGGCAAAAGGGCAAATGTATTACTTGTTACTATTAATTTTGGCAATAATTGGTCCTGCTACCACCCAAATTTTTGCGCTTTCCCTTTCCTTCCAACTCTCTCCAACCCAAAAAAGGGTATATAGACCGTCCGTTTTTTAAGGGGCCGACGACTGAACCAGAAATAACTTCTAAGTGGGCCACTGTGGGAGAGGAACGCTCCCTACCTGCGGGCGGGGAAACTGGCGGTGGCCGCCGCGGAGATTCTAGGCGCTGCTCCCGGGACTGCGAGGAACATCGGCGGCGCGTCCGTCCGCACTCTATTGAGCCTGGGAGCGGGGTCGGGGGTGAGGTCCCCGCCCACCCCTGCCCGGTAGGCCCGCCCCCGGGACCAGAGAGTGGGAGGGTGGGAGATGAAGTTTTCTTTCTCTGACGCTAACGGTTTTTAATTTGGAAAAACAGATTCTGCATTCCTGGAATAACTATATAACAACGAAATCAAAAGTGAAAATTCACTAGTGCTATTTCGCGAAAATCACCTTTTAAAAAAGCATCAAGTATTAAAACAAATCAACAGCTCCAGCTCACATGTTTTAAACAAACCAACGTCTGGAATCCTTCAGTACAAAGATTTCAGATGTTTTTATCTTCAGAATCAGACATCTTAAATTCTGCCATCAGGTTTCCTCCCTTTCTAATGAAAGTTTCTACAAGATGAGGGAACATCTTGTTAGCTTGATATAATTCTACAACCCATAGGAAGTAAAACGACAGGCCCGTATGGTTTGGTTTTTATTGTAGAAAGTAGATGTGTGTGTATAATAGCAGATATCTTTTTAAAACGTGGGTTTGTAACTTCCTCAAAGTTCCTCGACATAATGAAACTTCAATTGCTTTGTCATTACTAGAACTTCCCATCACCAGTTACACCTATTTAAGAGTGCTCTGGATTTCTGCTATCTTGCCATGCTTGAATGAAGGTTGGGGCAGCAGATTCTAGGTGAGGGTTTAAGAAAACTATTCTGGTAATTCCTGATCAATAGAATAGCTCAGGCTTTTAATTTGGTAAACTAGTAGATTACCAAATCGAACAGCTATTCCATTCTTGTAATAACTATATATAAAGAAAACCCAAGTGAAATTTACCAGTTCAGTTTCTAGTGTCACTCACACAGGTGGTAGTGGCGTAATTTATTTAAGCATTCCCCACTTTTGGACTTCTAGGTTTCAGTCTTCCTCCCTCCTGTCTTCCTTCTTTTTTTCTTTCTTTCTTATTTTGTTGTTATTTTAAATAAATTGAACTCTTCATTGTTTGCCTTTCCTGCTTATTCATTTCAACGGCAATTTAATGAATACTGCATAATGAATGAATATTGAGGTGTTCATTGGCTTGGTTACGGCATTTGCTTCCCAAGTAAGAATTTTCACATTCTCAAAAAATCACACATTTTAAGTTTTTAACTGGAAAAATACTGAGGATGACACTGCCTTAAAAAGTTGGTGAGGGGAGTAAAATTCTCTTTAACTTCAAAATTGTAATAGACTTGGAGATTCAGCTTAGAAGATACCTCTTT